GCATATAATTTTGTCATTTAATTATTATATATACTAAATTATTTATTTTGTCATTTAATTATTACATATACTAAATTATTTATTTATTTATTAATTTAATACATTTTTTTTTTTATAAAATATATTTTTTGTTTATATTTAGCTGGACTTTTTAGCTCCATCTTAATCTTTAAATTCTTTGCTCACTTAGACAATTTATTATTTATGTGGATTAAATTAAAGCTTTGACTTTCTCTTCAACATAAATTGTTAATTAGTTTTTTCTCGCGTTTATCTTGATTTTTTTGCTAGTTAACTCGATTGCTCGCTCACTGAAATTCTTTGGCAGTTTCGTGTAATTAACATAAATTCAACAAATATTTACAAAGTATTCTGACTAAAATAAGATAGCCGTTGCTCTGCACTCCCACAAGGTCTACCTTTACTCTGTCTCTCTCTCTCTCTCTCTCTCTCTCTCTCTCTCTCTCTATTAAAACAGTTTTGTATCAATTTCAGGCAAAATGCATAAGCCATAAAATCTGAAATTAAGAGATTTTATGGCTTATGCATTTTACCTGATTAAGAATGAAATTTAATATGAGATAAAAGAACATTAAATTGTTTTACAGCTTGCAGTTGCTTTAACTTTGCCAAACAGAAACACATATATTATTTAAACATATTTTATTTAAAAGTAATTTAAAGCAAACCAGAATAACTGGAACAATCTAGATAATCAGCGCAGCAAGAAAGCAATACTTAAATTTCAGAATTATTGCAGTGCTTATTAAGCTATATACATACATATACATATATATATTACATTTATATAGCATTCATATATATATATGTATATGGGCAGAACGAATTTCCATTGATGAATTGTTTTAGTCAATTGACGATGATTTATGATGATGATCATTTAGCTAATCTTAATTGTTGTTCGCTAGTCGAGCTGTTAGCCCAGCTGCTTGCCACTAAACTGGTTTTTAGGGTCTAAACTCCAGCGGGCCAGCGAGTGCGAGTGCCAGCTGATTGCAGAATTAGCCAGCTATTTAGCCGCTTCAGTGCAGACAGACTGAGCTGAGCGGAGCAAAAACCACTTGGCCAGCAAATGTGGAGGTCAACGATTTGCTATTTTGAAACAGCCGCAGCGAAATGTATAGCAAATCAGCCCAAACAACTCGGGCGGGGCACTCACAATCGAGTGCCAAAAAATAAATAAAAAAAAAGTTGACTATGCATGAGACTCTGCTCTATATATATTGTATCTATATATTCACTATCTCTCTCTGTCTCACTCTCTCTAATATTTTGTTTATTTTCTTTATCTTTGTGGCACTTCTAGCTAGCTGCTTGAGATGTAAGCGGAGAGACGGCCAATCAGCCAATCAATAGATCGCCGCTTGACGCGCACACCCAAAAAAATGTTTCAATTATGTTACCCACAACAAGCAGACAACCACAACAGCAACAACAACAACAACAACAACAACAGCAGCCAAATAGAAGCACAAATTCCAGCAGTAGAAGCCACAGCTTAAGCAGCAGCAGGAGGAGCAGCAACAGCATACAGCACTCGGCAGCTATATTGAAACTCAAGAAGCAAACCAAACAGCGACCAAAACCAAACCGAAACCGACAGCAAATTAGCATAGCTATAGCAACAAGGGCAGCAGCAGGAGTAGCAGGAGAAACAGGAGTAGCAGGAGTAGCAGGAGCAGCAGCAGCAGCACAGGAAACAGGACAGCGCCATGGGCTGCTCGCCGAGTACATTGCCCAACTCGTCGTCGGCGGCGGGGCCAGGAGCCGGCAATGGAGGGAATGCGCCCTTGCCCCCGCTGGATGCCAATGAGAAGGATGGCAGCTTGCTGTTCTGCATCAAGCTGCGGCGCAGTCGGATGCGTCGCTGCAGCTGCGGCGCTGTCACGCTGCAGAATCAGAACGGCGACGGCAGCACGGGCAGCGCCACCTGCGGCGACAACATGATGTGCAACCAGGGTCTCCTAAATCCGCTGCAAACCAAGAACGAGTCCGACTACGAGAAGGTGAGTATGGCAGCCATGGCCACAGACACAGCTTTCGATTTACCCAGAGCTGACCAATTGAACTGCATCTGTCCTATCTGTAATCCCCGCCTGCAGCTCAGCACTGGCAAAAAGGACTCCATCGTGACGGTGGCAGCTCTCGGCAACTTTACGCACAGCGTCGTGCGCCGCGCCACTGGAACGGGCAGTAAGTACTCCTATACTAGAAAACCAATCTACTATATCTGCAGCCCACATCGTGCCCCATGCCCCACCCAGCTTAGACTGAGCAATGTGTGCGGAGTGCAAACATACGAAATGCTCGCAAAACAGCAAAAAAAAAAACAGATTTGTGCCCTAAGCGGGTATAAAAAATTTATAAAAAAAAAAAAAAACATAAAATAAAAAAAAAATGAAAAATGGCTTTCAAATTGCTCCATATTAATATGTCAGAGAGATTTCCAATCAATTCAAATTGCAAGCGAAATATATTCTATGAAAAAAGGATTACTGCAGCTGAAGTGAACTTGAAGTAATTTTTAGAGAGAATTTTATTAAAGCAAATATATGAATAAGGGCAAATTCAATTTTAAATTGTTAGTAAGAAGAGCTTTAGATTGTAAAGTAAAAATTAATATTGCAATTGTTTCTTTTTTTTTTTTTTTTGCATGTATATTTGATGAAATGTTTGCAGATTAGTTTGCTGCTGTTAAAAGTAAATCAATTAAATGTATTCTTGAAGGCTCTTTCATAGATGAAAGAGTTATAGAGTGTAGCTATGATGGCTAAAAGTTTGGGCGTATATTTGATAGGTTTTAATACCCGATCCAGAAAGTCTTGAGGTGCTGGCGTCTGAATTCTTCTCTTAGGTCTGGAGCGCGAGCTTGAGGTTTTTAGTAGCTAGCCAGCTTGTTGAGGTTGATAATAGGATTCGTTTCTCATTCCATATATGAGGGTCAATTCAGCCCTATACATTTTACATATATGCGAGACTCTCGCTAGAAATAAATTATTTAGCTGTAAGCCAAAGCTAAGCTCATTCCACAGACTGACATAGACCTGATTCACATATAAAGCTGGCTGTCTTCATCATAATTGTCTTTATATAGATAGATATAGAAAGATATAGAAAGTAAACTTTTTAGTTAAAATTGGAGCAGCATACGAGTATACACATACTATATATATAATATATAATAATAGTCTCACTAGATATGTGTAGATTATCTAGTTGATAGCTCAAGATAAGCTCAAGTTTATATAAAAGCTTGACACAAATATATATATGTATGTATATTCCGCTCTCCACATGTAAAGCTTGCTCTGTAGGGCATTCAGCTGTCGCTGCAGCTCACACAGCTGACATTTGAGGGGAATCTCATTAAAAGCGCTAAGGGCTGCCGCACGGCTAGAGGTAATACGATCTGCGACAAGTCAGCTGGCGCTAGTGTAGCTCTCTGTTATATCCAGGTGCAGCTGTTTTGTATAGACTCCAATTAACGGCTCGCCTGAAGAGCTTGAGCTTCGCATATCAATGGTGCGGCAGACGGTAGCAATTGTAGTCAGCAGATGTGAGAGAGACAGAGAGAGCGAGAGCGAGAGGGAGATCGACGAAGAGAGGGAGAGCCAGACCAAGAGAGCGTGCGGTGAACTGTGAGTGCGCTTCGACTGAAACTTGATCGCGCTCAGCGCTCGGGCCGATCTGCTGAGAGCGAGAGCCGTTTATCGGTTCGCTCTGCAGCTGCCTCGCCCTCGCACTCGCCCCTGCTTTGGCCGGCTGAATTCGCCTCGGCGGAGCTGGCATTCGCAACAGCTGCTCGCCATTTATGGAGTCAGTTGCTTTGAATTGGTTCGCCGTGTCGGTTGTAAAACGCTTTTGTAACGGGACGTTGAGCTCGCCAATGGACTGCGGCTGCTGCCTCTGTGTGAATCGCAATTGGATTGGCTGCACAAATAATAATAATAATAATCAATATATATGCCTCTCTATCTATATAAATATATGATAATACACGAACCGTAATCGTCGTTCAGTAAATTTGAAACAACTGCCTCTGGCTTCGCCCAGGTCGCTCGTTATGCAAATCGCAAACGCAGAAGGTGAAGGCGTTCAAATTCAAATTTACATTCAAACCGAGATTCAAATTCAGTTCGAGAGTCTGCGGCCAATGCAGCGGGCGTGTAACGCGGGCGTGTCGGCCATAACATCGCAAACTGGTCGCCAATCGCAGCAGCAGCAGCAACAGTTGCAGCAGCAGTAGCTCCGTTCAATGCGGCCTAATGTGACGGCACAAATTTGGCTAGAAAAATTCGTGCAAGTGACTGCAACGCGCGTATTAGCCAGGGCCAACCAGTTGAGAACCAAAATCGAATGCAATTAAAGCTTATGACACTACCAACAACAGCAACAACAACAACAACGACAACAACTGTGTGACACAAAATAAAAAACAACGTTGCTAAAAGATTGCAGCAACTGGTGTGTGTTGTGTTGTGTGGAAAAAAACAGCTCGGCGCCACAAAGCGAGCCAAAAAGCAAAAGAATACAGCAAGACAACAACAACAACAATAACAACAACAACAGCAAGAGCAACGGCAGCAGCAGCTGCAACAACAATAACAACAGTGCCAAATAAAAATATAACAACAATTTATACGCTGTATCGAAAAGTGTTAAAATTCAAAATAAACTTCACAACTAAGTGTGCCAATAACAACAACAACAACAACAACAACAATCAGTAACTGTGCTAGTTGCTCATAGCGAGTCTAACATTCTCCCAGCTACATATATACCATATGTATGTATCTGTATCTGTGTATCCGTATATCTGTGTATCAGTGTATCTGTATCTGTATATATGGCTAAAAAGCTGTAGCTATTGCTGCGTCTAACTGGCTGTGCGTTTGTGTGGCATTTCATTCGTCAATTTGGCTGCAGTCAGTGCCTGCACCTGCCAAAGGTGTTTTGCAAAACTAGCTCATTAACGTGTGTCGGCTGTCAGGCTAACTGCCCAGTTAACACAGCTAACGGCCAACGGGCAATGGCCAACGGCTAACGACCCAAAGCGCTCCAATAATGCAAATAGCAGCTAATGAGAACAAAACAACAAACTGACAAAGCATGCTTATATAAATTTTTTGTGTTTATATTGTGTACAATAGGAGAGCAGAAAAACACACACACGCACACACATGCAACAAGAATTTTCTAGCGCATTCAGTTTATTAATTTTTTTATATATATTTTTTTTCGTTTTTATTATTTGTTGTCGCTTAGAGATAAAAAAGATTCACATGACAATCTGGTTTGCGTTACACGCGACTCTATGACGATCTTTCAGATTCAGCACACACACACACACACACACATGCTCAATTGCACACACACCAATGCCTTGGCGTTGCCAGAGCGCCGCATAAAATGCGAACGATCGACGACGATCGGCAAACAATAACAATCGAACGAGCGCCCACGCAATGGCGCCAAAACATCAATCAAAGCAAAATAAGCAACAGCAACAACAACGGCAACAACAACAACAACAACAACAAAGGCAAAGCAAACACGAAAATGTATACAAAACAAAAGCGAAACTGCAGCAGCAGCGCTGCCAATGCCAACACCCAGGCAGGCAGGTGTCAATGGCCAATGGCCGTTGGGCAACAGTGCGAGGCGTTTATCAATGTTGCGCCTTAATTACTCAATCAGAATTGAAATCAATTGAATTTGAATTGATGCGATTAGAAAACCTTTTGGGTCTATCACAAACTGTCGCCATTCTGCTGCTCTCTGTGGCTGCGGCCACGTGAAGCTTCTCACATAGAGCAGCGTCGCGACCTGGCACCTTCTGCCAGAGAGATTAGATTAGGTGAGCAGACTGGGAGAGAAGTCCACAGTCAGTGTCAATATGCGTGTGTGTGTGTGTGTGCGATGACACTGACTGGACTCATGCCCCATGCCCGCTATCAACTATCAACTATGAACGCTGAACGCTGAACGCTGATGATCGCCGTCAGATAGATAAAGCCTCGTTGCTGTTGGGTTTCGCATTTCGGGTGAATTGCTGTGAGCAACGTGCCCAGAAGCAGGCCAAACTAACTAACTGTACTCTGGAGCACTCTCGCTCTAGTTCAATTCCCCAACACATACACACACATATACATACATGTATATCAACTCGTATGTGGTAGATGTAGATTGTGCACGCGTTTTGTTTTCTGCTTGATTATTTGTAATTGTGTCAGTGTGTATCTCCCTCTATCTATGCATGTGTGACTATGTGTGTGTGTGTGTGTGTGTGTGCTGGTGAAAACGCATTATACGCCTGTGTTTCAGTTTCAGCAACCGTATCTCTGTGTGTACGGGGGCCTAAACATCTGAATACTATGGGCAAACTTGCCTGATATTATCTTATCAAAAATTAATTGGTTGTCATGACAACGGCCAAGGCGCAAAAGAGACTCTTGGCCAATGACCGGCTAATGCCATACGCCAAATGCGCTGCACTGCACTGCAATCGAAATGCAATTTGTATTAAATAGTTTGCCCTCCCTCCCCCTACAAAGAATGTCGATTTCATGTAATGCAATAACAAATACTTTCATGTCTCGAACTTGAAATTTCCATTCGATTAGCTGAATTTTTTCGTATTGTCTACATTTATTTATTTATTTTATTATTTTGTATTCATTTTTTGTTGTTGTTGTAGCTGTGCGCATTTAGCTACCAAACGGAAATTGTTCATAAAAAATGTTGTTTTTGTGCCTTGAACCAAGCAAAAATATTTACTCGATTCACTGCGGATGTTGAAGCCTTTGAAAAATCACGTCTTGGCCAACTACAAATGCAGCTAAAGCCAATTGCATAGAATAGACCTCCAATATATCTGTATAAATAATTAGGTAAAAAAGTCAGCATTTTAATAACAATTTTATAATCCCCCTTTAAGCAGTCATAATTCCTAATGGGTTTCGGTATCAAGTGGTATAATATGATTTATAATTGAGCCGTTTGAAGTGCGAGCAATACAAATTCCACTCAAGCATAAGTACATATATATATGTATGTATATAGAGTGAGCAAGTATATATATATATATACATAAATCAAAGGCATTAATTTCTGTGAAACTGTAAAGCAAATTATTGAAATACCTGGAAAGTTGAGTGAAGTGAAGTGCCAATTTCCTGGAGAATCACTGAAAGAGTCATTGGCTGGCCCAAATATTCAATTATGATTTTGACAAGGCCAAAAGCAGCAGGAAGAATAGAAGCGGAAAAACGCCAATGTTTTTACCCTTTTCTTTAGTAAACTTCTGCTAAAACTGTCTTATGATGCATATATTTATATTTAAATTCAATTGAAACTATTGAAACTATTGAAATTAGTAATTCATAATTTCTTCGTTTTCAATTAACAATTTATATTTAAATTAAATTTTTTATCCATAGCTACATATATCTGAATTTCAATTTATTAAAATATCTCTTCATTATTATTTATTTTTAATTTTGTTTTACGCCCAACTTCTTATTATTAACTTATTAACTGAACTCTATTTTTTTTTTTTATTTATTTTT